AGCGATTTCTCGGAAGCAATCATCGTTCTTTCACGACTGGCACTCCAATACAGTCGCCTTGGATACTGTACGAAGGCGGACGAACTATTGAGCCGAGCGGATCAATATCTCAGTCAGCGCGACGTCTCTTGTTTGGCAACGCTTTCACACAAGCTAGCTCGCGTGGGCTACCTTCTCGAAGTTGGTGAGATCCAGAAAGCAGCGAGTACACTTTCAGCAGCCCGAACTCTGTATGAGAAGAACCAGAAGAAGGAAGATCTCAACGCCTGCTCGGTATTGTCGAAGCTTATGTGGGAAAGACTGGTGGCCGACGCGGCATTCATGAGCTCCCGACTCTCTTTCGCTCAGGGCTCAATCAATGATGCTCTGTTTTTCGGCAAACTGTCTGTTAGGCTGAATTGCAGGATTTGGGCTAAGATCGAAAAGCTTGCGCAGAGAAAACAAGACAAGATCGCTCAATCAGCCGAAAACTCTGAGCTGGAAACTGTGGTTGAAGGAATGGCGAAACTCGAGGTCTCGCAAGCGAACGCAACCCTGGCCGTGTACTCACAAGGTGCCCCGTTTTGGCCTCATATCGGTTCACATCACATGGCTCTATTGAATCTTTCGAGCCTCTCCGCCCATCACGGCTTATTCCAGGACGCCATCTACTACGGAGAGCAAGCGCTGAAGATTAACAAAACACTTAACGCCAACGTTCGCTTGATCGCGTCACAAGCGCAGCTTGGCTCGCACTGGATCTATGGTGGACATATGAAGGAAGGACAGGAGCTTCTTGCAGCGGCTGCGTCCTTGTCCAAGCAGCTCGACAACAGCATTGAGCTTGTTTCATTGCAGATCGGCCTTGCTTCTCTGCATAGAGCACAGGGTCGTTACCGCGATGAACACCGTGCTCTACTCGAAGCCGACAGGCTCATGGCTGAGTGTGGCGCTTCTGAGTCATTGGACGTTCTCTCGGGTGTGGCGGACCTTAATGACAAGATGAAAAAGCTACAGGTCCAAGGCACTGCTAGGAAGACGAGGCAACGGGCGGCGACTACGACCCGCAGAACTCGTGCAGCAACTACAAGTGCGCCCAAGACGTCAAGCGCGGGCTCCGAATCGACAGAGACAGATTCGACGTCACTTCTTCATTTACGGAGCGACATTCTTCGGCAGCAGGCAGCATGCTTACGTTCGCTACGGGACTTTGAAAAGGCATCCAGCTTGCTGGAGGATGCACGCAAGTTTGCAACTTCTAGGGACAGTCAGATCTCCCTGCACATTGGCGAAAGTGAGCATCTACTCGCTGATGCCATTCGGAATTTCGCCACTCATGCAGTGTACTGTGTGCTCCCTGAATCGACCATCTCCCTGCCATCACTCCAGTCGCCAAGTAAGACGGTGAGCCAGACCAGCAGCGGTAAAACAACTGCGACTCGCAGGACACGAGCGCCAACAAAGACGGCTACGAGAGGTACACGTTCTAAGACGCCTAAGCCGACAGAGGACTTTTCTGTAATGCTCGCCAAAGCGAGCGAGAGTCTGAATACCATCTTTCCGCTTGCCACAACCCTCGGATCAACCCTTGACAGCCATGCCGCCTCTCGCTTGATGAGCCGCATTTCCATGTTGACCCATGTCACGGCACTTGATAACCTCGTTGCGCTCTCTCAATCACCAGCAAATGTGAACGAGGTTGGCCGCATTGGTGCGTTTACACGGGAGCATGCTGCCATCACTCTTGACAAACAACTTGCGGATTACTGCGACCCCCTGCTTTGGCCGACTGCTGAATCTGCAATGGTACCGGAAGAGGATCTCTGCTCCCGTTTTACCGAAGAATATGTTGATATTCTTCCGGAGAACTGGAACGTCCTTTCTTTGTCCTTGAGTACTGACCGCACCGAGTTTGTGGTTTCTCGATTGCAAAAGGGTCGTTCGCCGTTCTTGTTGCGTTTGCCTCTCAAGCGTGGCAGTTCGGAGGATGAGGAGGAGCAATACACATTCGAGGATGGAAAGGGAGATATGCAGGAGCTGATTCGACTGGCCAACGAAAGTGCGCATGCAGCTAAGCACCAAACCGACCGGCAGATGAAGAAGGACTGGTGGAAGAACCGGGAAGCACTGGACCGTCGGATGGAAGCTCTTCTGCAACATATCGAGACTGTCTGGTTCGGTGGATTCCGCGGAATATTCTCGCCGGTCCCTCACGAGACTCGTTCGCTTGCACGATTTGCAGATGCATTCCATACCATCCTGGACAAGCATCTGCCCTCGCGCCGCAAGGGCGGTCGTGCAGCTAGTCCGCGGTTGACACTTCATCCGAATGTGCTTGAACTGTTCATTGGTGTCAAGGACCTGGATGACCAAGAAGACCCCGAAGAGACGTTGATGGACCTTCTCTACTTCGTTGTTGATATCTTGCAATTTCAGGGTGAGCGCAACGCATATGATGAAATCGATTTTGACATGATGGTTGTGGAAACCCTTGACTCTCTGAGGGGGTATCACGAGCAAGTCCGGAAAGAGCAGGGCAACCCTTCACCCAACCGGACTGTTCTGGTCTTGGACAAGTCCTTGCATATGTTCCCGTGGGAGTCCCTTCCATGTCTCCAGGGATTCCCGGTGTGCCGTGTGCCCTCCTTGGAATGTCTTCGCGACCGAATCGTGCGATTCCGCGACGAAGGTGCAGAAAGCAAGGCTGGTTTTACGATCAACCGCAAGAATGGCACATATTTCCTCAACCCCACCGGTGACCTCCAAACCACGCAGGGCACCTTCGAGAAGGACTTATTGAAGCTGGAGGGGTGGAGCGGAGTGGCCAACCGGGAGCCTACAGAGGAAGAGTTCAAGAACGGATTAGAGTCGAACGACGTGTTCCTTTATTTCGGGCACGGCAGTGGCGCACAGTACTGTCGGGCGCGGACGATTAAGCGTCTTGACCGATGCGCAGTCACATTCCTGATGGGTTGCAGCAGCGGTGCTCTGACGGAAGCCGGCGAGTACGAGCCGTACGGCACGCCGATGAACTACTTACATGCGGGGAGCCCGGCCTTGGTGGCCACTCTCTGGGATGTGACGGACAAGGACATTGACCGGTTTGCCAAGAGCACGCTGGAGAAATGGGGCCTTGTCGGGGGGCGTGAGCAGGCAGTGGCTTTGGATGATGCGGTTTGCCAGTCGCGGCAGGCCTGTGTGTTGAGGTACTTGAACGGAGCGGCGCCGGTGATCTACGGCGTCCCTGCGGTGTTTTTGGAGTAATCATTGGAGATGGATAAGCATTGGCGTTCTTTAAATTTTGGGAAGGGGATATGATACCTATGGCATAGCATGGCAAGGTAGTTAGTTTAATTTCTACAGTTCATACATATCTATTCAATTATCTAGATTGTCTCGATGATAAATCCGGGATAGCGTCGATAACTTCAAACGGCAAAAATTTCCGGAGTTTTGAGGGATCCACCGCCCCTCATTTTCCCCTCATCCGATATTTCCCCTCATCATTGTTGATATAATAAACCATCCACCCTTTCTTTCCCTCCCTTCCTATCTCCATCTCTACACCATCCACAACACCCAAAGGTATACACATACATACAACCATGTCCGTCACAACAAAAGCCACCATCGCCTCCTTCGGCGGCAAGCTCCTCAAGCTCACCCACGCCGCCACCTCCACCAAATGTGAAATGGGCTTCAACCTCTACCTACCTCCTCAAGCCTACCAGAACCCCTCCGCCAAGGTCCCCGTCCTGATCTACCTCTCGGGTTTGACCTGCACCGCCGAGAACTGCTCCGAGAAGGGCTTCTTCCAGCACGGTGCCAGTAAGAAGGGTATTGCTGTGTTGTACCCTGATACGAGTCCTCGTAGGTTCACCAACCTACCTTTCCCCCTTTCTTGCTTATCTCTCAACAACTCTATCACATCTATCATTGTAAAACATGGTAATTGGAGTACGCTAATCTAAGATGGGGGGATTAGGCGGCCTCAACATCCCCGGCGAAGCCGACAGCTACGACTTTGGCACTGGCGCCGGCTTCTACGTTGACGCGACCAAGCCGCCCTACGACAATGGATATAACATGTACACGTACATCACGGAGGAATTGCCCGCGACGGTGTTTGCTGCCTTCCCGCAATTGGATAGTGAGCGGGTGAGTATTACGGGTCATAGTATGGGTGGACATGGTGCTTTGACTTTGGTACGTATATATACCTACCTTTCTACCTTCTATTTATCTATGATGTTGGGGGATTTCTTTAAAGTTAATAATTGGGATAGTTCCTCCGCAACCCCGGCAAATACAAGTCCGTGTCTGCGTTCGCGCCCATCACCAACCCGATTAACTGCCCGTGGGGACAAAAGGCCTTTTCGGGATACTTTGGTGAAGATCAGCAGGAGAAGTGGAAGGAGCATGATGCTACGGAATTGTTGAAGAAGTGGAAAGGTGGGAGGTTGGATGTTTTGATTGATGTTGTATGTTCACACCCTTCCCATCCCCTCCTTTTAACTCTCTTATTTTTAGGTTAGATTGTGAGATGTATACTGATGATTGTGTGTGTGTGTGTGTGTACAGGGCACCGGAGACAACTTCTACAAGCAGGGCCAACTTCTTCCCGAGAACTTCGAGAAAGCTGCCAAGGAGGCTGGTGTGGAGGGCGTGACGATCCGGTATCAGCCTGATTACGATCACAGTTATTATACTATGGCGACGTTCTCGGATGATCATGTGGAACATGCGGCGAAGTTTTTGTTTGCTTAGTGGGTTTTTTCCTCTCTTCTCTTCTCTTTGCTTCATTCCTATCTGTGACTAGACTGGACTGTCTATTATTTGTAAAAAAGAGATATTATGCAAAAGTCATGTGACTGTTCTGATAGTGTGAAGCGATCGTCAGGCTAGAGCGTCGTTATAGATATAGTTATTGGAGGGATGGATATAATAAGGAATATAACGATGTGATGATGGTGTATATAACATGGTTTCAGAGAACACATTATCATTAGACAATTAAGCTACTACAAAACCACCGCAACCGACTTATCAACCCCATGCATAGACTCGGGAAACTTGCAGTCTGCCCTGCAATGTCCCTGCTGGTTCTCCCACGGACACTGATGTCCACAAATACACTTGGGATCCGTGCACCAGATATCATTCGGGCAGACGCACGTTCGCGTAACGCACCAGAGATCATGAACATCCCTGGATCCGAGTCGGCGTCCATGTCTGTGCCCGCACTCATCGCCAAGGGGACACTCTCCTAGAATATGATATCTACTGCAGTACTTCGACCTTCGTAATCTTTCGAAGTTCTCTCTGCTGCTGGCCCGGGGTGGCGGGTCAACCCGTTGGCTCTGGCTGTTAAGCTGTACTGTGTTAAATTGAATGTGGGTGTCGTATGAGGGGGAGATATCGAATGTTATGACTGAGATTTTCGATCGTTTGGATCTGTTTGTTCTGGTGGGGGATGTCGCTTGGAGGTTCGACTTGGCAATTGTGGCGTAGTTGCGTTTTGGCGTCGAGGGTGTGCTGAGGCTGGTTGGAGAGCTGCTGGGTGACGAGTTGGCGGATGCGGTTTTGAATGCGCTGAAGGATGATGCTCGGGAGGGTAGCTTCGTGGATCGGAAGACCTCGGGGAAGGAGGTGGTTTGGAACTCGCTTGCTAGCTGCTCCATTTCCCATGCAAATGGTGCTCCCTGGACGAGCGAGATGCGGTTGGATCCTTGGTGGGAGCCGAGGATGCGTGCGTAGCCATTGTCGGTCGAGCCACAGAAGATGATACGACGGCAGTGGACGTCTAGAATGTCTTGTTCGAATGTTGCTATGATGGTGGTTTAGTACATGCCATGATTTGGTGAAGAGGGCGACGTACCCCGTATTTTGACGTCTGAACACTCCTTGCCGTTTCCTGCATCGATAAAATCGCACAGGCTGTTCTCCATATTGAATCCCCGAATGAATGGATCTAGCGCTTCATTGGAGCGCAAGATGTGCGCTTCCCGGTACGTCTTCATCAGACCCGGAACGTTGGCGTACACCCGAATACGGTACTGAATGTTTGGGCTGGCCTGAGGGTCGATATCACGAATGTGACGCTCGACGGACTTTCGGAGGAGCATGGCAGCCTTGCGTCCACCGTTGTAGCCTTGTCGGATGAGAGTATCGTTGAACTAAGTTGTCAGTATAGGACGAGACAACAGTCGGACGCTTACGTACATTCATGCAGTCACCGTCGACAAGCACAGAAACGAAACTTAACTTGGACTGCGAATCTGTATAAGCCTATAGAAGCGAGACACTAGAATGAAAGGAAATACCTGGTCAAGCCGCAAGTCATCATACTCTGTTTTATACTTCTTCAATTCCTGGAACTTGGCGTCACCAAGCGTGTTCTGAAGGGCCCTCTGCAGACTTTCAACCTGGGCAAAGAGATTCTGTCGAAGAAGAGGTTAATAAACTGAATATGCGTTATGCTGTGAAGAAAAGTACCTGGAGAATTTTGTCTCTGCTATCTTCAACTGCCAGCACGGCTTCGTAGCGTCTTTTCACTTCTAGGAGGTCGATCATTATGACGACTTATGAACACGATGTATATACCAAAGTATGTTACACCGGGACTGAAGATTGTTTCTTGAATGATAAGATTGAACAGGCAGAGAAGCAGGTTCCGGATCATGTCGATGGCTGGATATTTATATTGTATGGTTGGAGGCAGCAGGTAACTGGGGGCCTATCAATGAAGCACCTTTCGAGGCCATGGTTTTCGGGAGACACCACAAATGTCGCGACTTGGAATCACTCCATGAAACATTGTTAGCCAATAAGTCCTGCGTGTTTATCTGAATTCCAACGGATCAGCTGTGCTGAGATTCCAGCGTGTCGTGCTGGAAAAGTACAGCGGTTAGTATACGCCATGGGTTGGACTTGGGCCGACCCGACAGACGCCCAGTGTGATGAGCAATGGCACTGCATGGAAGCTGCGCTAGAAAAGATAGCGTGAGAGTAGATGTGATATCGAGGGGTTGCCGCCATGGAGAGGGGAAGAGGGGAGAGACGCCAAAGAGACGAGGCACGCACAGCTGGCGCTAGATTGACGGGTTGGCATTGGTCGGCCCCAGGCACCCCCATTCGCCATCACATCGAGGACCCAGACATGTTCCACCCGCTTGGAACCGCCTGCGTTTGTGATGTTGGAATATTTACTGGTAACGGGAGATGTTGCGCTTTAGTCCAGAATCATAAGGTCTTGCTTCATTCTGTTGGTTTGGCGCGCAACATTGTCCGGAGTGTCAAAGGACATGGCTCTATTCCTTCCAGTCAATGTTTCCAACAGCAGATCTTATGATCGACAAGATTTTAGGGTTATCTTCTGCCGTGTCCTAAAACCCATCTAAGGCCGAACATTGTTGTTTCTAAAGATAGTAATGTCTTGGTGGTTGGTACGGATTGATGAAGACATCAGTAATAACCACTCCGACAAGCGATAAAGCAGACCGTCAATCTGGAGCAGTGATACTAGTATTACACCAGCCTTTTTTTTCACTCTCAAATTGAACGTGTACGCAGCATGCGTGCTTATATAATTTTCCTTTACTGGCAACAGCACCTCTTTCTCCGTTCCCTTGATACTTAGCTGAAGACGAGAGGAAATTCGTCGTTGATTCGGGACCTTATACTCACGTCTTCTCATTCCGATAATTGATATCGAATCAACCGCGAAGGTTCTTTCTGTTTAAAATTCTTTCTCCGTGAAGGTGTGGATAATGGGCGATGCCGTGCGCCCGGCTGATTTATCAAAGGTTTCTACTTTCGGATTGGAAACCCGTGGAATGAATCTATTGGGATAAGTTACGATAATCTAGAGGAAAGGAGTGATTTACAGGCTGAAGCATGAAGATTCTGGGCCTGACAAAGCTCTGCAAGCGTTTCCGCCAGCAGGCTTGAACGGTCATAGACTCACCTTCTCATCTTGACAAAAGAATCTCTCTCGTCTATTGCAACGTTATTACTGTGTCAAGGCTCCCCCAATGCCTTGGGGATTTTCCAGTGTTATTTTTCAAGTCATTGTTCAGTCACTTGTTTCAAGCCAGAACCCATACAATGATGCGATAATATGCTATCATAACTGCAATCCATCCCACATTATTCCTATCATAACACAGGACCAAGATAGATCCCTCACATCTAAGCTCCCCCACGACTCTCCAATTCCTCATACAGCTCCTTTGTCCTCTCAAATCCATCATGCAGAACACCCTTCCCCAACTTATCGTCATGGTTGATAAACCGCCCCACCCTCTCCATCATGAATCCCCTGTACCGTACCGCACTACACAAATGCGTATGCCAGACTAGATCTATATCCAATGTTGGAACGAGCATAACGCCGGGATGGAGACGAAACAACTCAACGAAGTTGTTGTAGCGTTTTCGAGAAGTCTCTAATATTTCCTCGGCATCAGGATAAGAGATCCATAGACAGTCGTGCATCTGGTCGATGAACTTCATTTGGCGGAGGACGTTGTATAGAAGGGCTTCGTTATCGGGGGAGATTGATGGACGTCTTTCTTGGTTTGGTTGGTCTGGTGCGGACTGGGTTCTGCGAATAGCGTCTGTGAGACTGACTAGAGGGTTTGTTGTTATGTTTGCGGTAGATTCGAGCCATTGTTTGTTGGAGCGGGGGAGGGTATATGACCAGTTGGTTGGGTTGATGCAGTCGTGCTGCAATGTAATAGTTGATCAGTATGCGGTGTATATCAATCCATGGTGCAAACCTACTAGAACAACCCATGGGAAAGGCAGTTCCTGAATTCGATCAAGCTGACGGCTTGTACAGAATTCCTTGTAATCGGATGGATTGAGCAGGAATGCGTGCCAGACCATGAGTATGTCTGACAGTTTCAGTTAATGGATACGGCCATTATGGTTGACAGGGAACTCACCAACAGGGGGAAGTATAAGCCTTTCGTTTTTTCCATCACGCTCAAGCTGCTTCTCCGCAGCACGGATCCAGACTTGAAATCTCTCAACAGCAAGCGACACGAACCGATGCCACTTTTCCGTCCTCTTCGTTTCTCTACGATGTTTCGATATCCATAATCGGCTCGAATCGAGACGGAATACGCGGACTAACTCCTTCGACTGGGTGATCTGGATACGCAGGTTACGGAATACTTCGAGCAGTTCGAGATGGACGGCACATTCGCCGATCGTTGGGAGATCCGCGTTACCTCTTTGAGTATCATTTGATGCGATACCTAAGGTCTTGAATAAGTCTGGATGAGGGACTGAGGTATTTTGGGTTATTTCTTTGAAGGGACGGCGCAGGAACATGGGGAAACGTCGCTGGCGATGAGCCATCGTGCTAACAAGATCTGCAGTGTTATGTATTAGGTTGTCCTGATGATGGATTCATTTATGATTCTGGTTCGGTCTATATATCTGCTCTTCTGACAGCCTTGTCTTCTACGAAGGCTACTTGACATCAGCCTTACAGGCTGAGCAAAGCTTAACGGTGAATGATGCCCTGATGACTATCGAGTCACGAGATCGTGTCCAGTCAGAGAGTATCATCAAAGAAATGGCTTGCAGGCAGTGCAATAGCAGCCTTCCCATTTGCGAATAATCAAGACTCAGCATATAGCTCGTGTTCGAGACCTTACTCAAGCCAACCTAAAAACAACTGGTGTGGTCTATCCGAGCCATCATAAATTTGGCAGTGGACTTAATCGGTCTACTTTGCGAACTAATATTTTGATACGCTGAACCTCTTCTAGTGGAATACTACGGACTATCAAGCTTAACAAGCACGCAATCTAATTGTTCGGCAAGTCAGCGTCCGTCGCGGAGCTTCTGTTAAAGATTGATCCCCGCCAAGACGCCGCTTCTCCTTCGTTCGGCACTAGAATTCCGCCAACCGACTATCTATGGATGCCTCAAACGCAGATATTTGTCTCCGGTTCGAAGAGGGGCTCTGGATCATGACAAGCATCCGGTGACGCAGCTGGAGGAGTTGCCAAGCGGAGATTGCGTTGCTTCTTAGGGGTAAAGAGGGAAGGGATCGGCAGAGAGAGCGAAAAGGTCACGGAGGGAGACAGCGCTCTAGATCGGATAGAAAGGTCCAGCATTATCGAGATTGCATTACCAGGGAGGTTATTGGTCTCGTGTATGTGCAGTTCGTCTGTCAGCGAGAAGGGCAGGGTCTGCTAATCATAGCCGCCGGAATTTGGGGAAGATTGTTATCGAGAAAGCGATCAGTGGATCAACTCCGGGGCCGAAATCGTCAGCGCATGTCGGCATCGCCTCAGCCGGAGATTCGACCGACAAGCCATGACGGAGTGACTCGCAATGACAATCAGGCTTTCCGGCTACTCCTCTTCTCTTCAAGCAATCCACTGCACCACCATGGAGCTGCTGTTTCAGTCCGGGCTCCTCTCCGTGTATTTGCAACCCAAAATAATATAATTGCAGCAGAACCTGGTCCATTAGACAAGCCACTACGAGGATGCTGACGCAGCCCTTGTGGTGCAGGGCCCATCCTCCGCTATCACGGCCGGCCTGTGCCTTTGGGAGACGATCCGGCATTGTTCTTCTCCCCAGGGCTCTTCAGCTGCGAGTCTCGTCCTCGTCCTCGCTCTCGCGTCTGCGCCATAAGAACCCTAGTGTTTCCTCCTCTCATTCTCCGGTTGTCTCCTCCTCCAATGCTTTGCTCTGTCCCGTCACACGTCCGACTCTAGTCCCTTCCATCGCCGCAGCCACCTCCGCTACCTCCGTGATCCTACCTCCAATGACCACCCAATCCAGAGACCATGGTGGCCACCATGGCCACCACCACCACCATCACCATCACGGAAACGTCTACCTTACCTCTACCGACAAACATGATGCTGGTGTGCGAATTACGCGACTTGGCCTACTCGCTAACCTCGCCATGGCCATCGGGAAGTTCATCGGCGGCTACGTGTTCCATTCCCAAGCCCTCATCGCCGACGCCTACCACGCCCTTACCGATCTAGTTTCCGATTTTCTGACATTAGGCACGGTCGCCTGGTCGCTCAAGCCGCCGAGCGAGCGATTCCCTAATGGTTATGGCAAGATCGAAAGCATCGGAGCATTAGGG